TGTTGGGTGCCCAAGCAAGTAGGGTCAACAAAAACTAGTCCCTCCAACAGAACCCTGCTCTGGCTGATGGAAGGGAAATGTGGTTCAATTTACTAGGAGCATCTATGAATGGAGGTGGCAGAGAGGGTCCCTGCTGAGACAAGGACTCCTCAGCAAGCACAGAGAAACCTCTCAGGCTCTTTGCTGCTCATCTGACTTGCTCCTCCTCAGATGCACATTGGAGATGAAGTTGGATGTAGGCAAACATGTTTCATTCTGGCTCAGCTTCCTGGGGAACTATGTGCTATTGCTGAAACTGTGGTGTCTAAACTTGTACCTGTGTTTCCCTTCAGGGAATGCTCCAATAAGGTCTCTCACACTTTTATGAAACTTAATATCTGCCAGCTGACGTAGGCGGAAAAGTCACCAGCTTTAGGGCAAGGCTTGCAAGTTCACTTCCACTAGTGGGAGTGGAGAGCCCAGTGCCAAGGACCTGTGTAAACAGCTTCAGGGGGCCATGTGTACCAGAGACGTGTGCCCATCTCTGATGAGGGTTTGCTCCCTGCACGGTCGTTTCAGGCAGGCACAATCCTAGAGTCGATTAGACTTCAACTGCACAGCCACCACCCCAGTCCCTTACCCGCTGTCATACCCCTGTGTGTTTGGCATTGTTGCAGGAGTGTGGCCTGCACTGTGGTGGAGATGTTAACAGAGAAGCCGCCGTGGGCAGAGTTTGAAGCCATGGCAGCTATTTTTAAAATCGCCACCCAGCCGACCAACCCCCAGCTCCCTGACGGCGTCTCGAATTCCTGCCGCAACTTCCTCAAGCAGATCTTCGTGGAGGAGAAGCGGAGGCCGACGGCTGAGGATCTGCTGAGGCATCCTTTCGTCAACTGTGGGCTCTGAGCCCCTGGCAGTGGGGATGGGGAAACGCCGGTGGGAGGGGGGTGGCTGCCAGACCCGTGGCCTTTTGCGCTCTGCAGTTCAGACCTCTGCCCTGGGCTGTCCTGGCAGTGGCCCCCGCAGGTCCCTTCTTGCTCATTGCTGGCTCGGCACCCGCCGCATTGTTGGATTTCCAAGCTGCGCTCAGGACTGTTGGCACAGGGAATTCAGGGCAAGGGATTTCCTGGACTGTGCGGGTGCTAGCCTTGGACCAAGTAACCTCCTTGCTGCCAGCGATACTGGGGTCGTCCCACTTACTGTGTTACTTATCTCTTGGGAAAAGCGCAGCAAATGGGATCTGTCCTCCCCACAGTACGACAGTGATGCTGGCAGCATCCCTGGGACCAGTGGAGGAATAAGATGCTCAGTGGTGATCACCACCTTTTGCAGAGGAACAGACAAGGGCTTCAGCCAAGCCAGAGGAGATGATCCTCAGACCACAGAGTCGGGGGGACCCAGGCGTCCCTGTTCACAAGGGGACTGAACCCTCCTGGAAGTCATGGGACCAGCCAGCGTCTCCAGCGGGGCAGCATTTAATACTGTTCTGTGCCTTAAGCGGTTACAATCAAGGAGTGATACTCGACTCAGCACAAAGCATGGAGTCGGGTGTGATGATGCAGCAGCCGTGTTGACTTTGCCTTTGTGCATGTGCGTGTGTGCGTGTGCATGTGTGTGTGAGCAAGTCCTGGAAGAAGGGGTCTTTTTGGGGTGTAGGAGGTCTCTGCGGGGTACACCCATGGATGGGTACCTGAGACCTCTGACATGGGCTGTATGGAGGGAAGTTTAAATGCTGTCCATGCCTGCAGTGGGCAGGGCTGAGCACCAGCCAGTTCATGCTAGGAACCATCAGGGTTGAGGTGGGATCTTGGCGAGGGCAGCTCTCTGCTCATGGCCACAGCCCTGCTAACCCATGCCTGTGCTGCTATGCTGGCACTGGAGGGACACCAACGTGTTTTGGAAGCGGAGCTTCAGGAAGAGCCCAGTGAGTCCCTGTAAAACCCACACGGGTGCCTAAAATTAGGCAGAGGGGACTGACGCCTGCAGATCTGGGCTGATGAAGGCTGAGTGCATTCTCCTCCATGCCTTGTGGGACCAGCCCCGGGTGCAAGGAAGGGGGACATCACCTGTACGGTGGTGCCCAAGGGAGCATCTGCAGGACTATGAAGCCTCAGACCAGGAGAGCAGAGCTGTGTCAGTCGAGGGCAGCTGGAGGCAGATTTCTTCCCACAGTATATTTCAAGCTGTAGGAGGAAATGGGCCAGATGAAAGCCAAACTGGGCTACAGCCTCTTTGACCAGCGCTACCCTGCTGGAAAACCTGGGCACGGAGCATGCACCGAATCCCTGGAAGGTAATGAATTAATCAGATCTTGGTTATTTTGGACAAATTTGCACCATCTCACCAGCCTCTTCCCTGCTGCATTAGCTATTTCTACCTGGCTCAGCAAAGACTTTAAATAAGCAGTTACTCGGAGGTTGCTATGTTCAGGCCAGTGTGTCAAACACCAGTTTATTTTAATATTTTTAATTGAAAGTAAAAAACGTTGCTTGGACTGAAGAGGAAATTGAAAAATTGGTTGTTTGTGTGACTACACACATCCTCAAATTCTGTCACGTGGAAGAGATCAAGACTTTGCACTGCTGGTGTGGTGGTAAGACCATTTCCTCGTCCACAGCTCTGAAAGAGAAGCAAAAATTGGAGTTATTTTGGTTTAAAAAAACCCCAAACTGGTAGTGTCAGGGCAACACTATTCACTAGAAACTTGCCTGCAAAGCTGAAGAAGCCAGTTATTATCCAGGCTGGGCTCCAGTGAAGCTCCGGGGCTGTGATGGGGCCCACAGCAGTGATGGGCAGCTTTTCTTGGGCAGGGGGCCTGAAGTCATCTCCTTTCTCCAAGGGTGAATGAAGAATTTTATTCTGTGAATAGGACCAAATCCATCAGTCTGTTTAGTCATATGGGATGGATGGGAAAAATACAAGAAAAAAAATCAGTGTTGGCTGGGAAGGGTTGTGTCAGAAGAGAGAAACAAAGTGTGTTTTTACCAAAGCTAAAAAAAAAAAAAAAAAAAAAAAAAAAAAAAAAAAAAAAAGCTATTTTCTCCTCTTTCATTGAATCTGTTTGGTTTTTCTTTTCTCAGCCCTTCAGTGATGGGTGAGTGTTTTCCTTCTTTCCAAAGCCTTGAGAGCGAATCAGGATTTCTGGTCCCCCTGGGCTGGGGCTGCCCCAACACACTCCCAGGGCCCTCAAACCACCCAGATCCTCCCGTGGATGGATGCAGCTTGATTGGTGTGTGTGTGTGTGTGTGTATGTGTGTGTGTACACGTGTGTGTGTGCGTGTGCAACTCGCTCCTCAGGTGCCTTTGCCTTTTTATTTTTTAAAACCCTTGCAGTGTTCTGATGTACAGAATGAAACTAGGAAAAGAGAATGTAATATTATGCCATGTGAAGTTGTTTTCTGTTTGTTGTTGTTGTTGTTGGGTTTTTTTTTAATTTTATTTTGCCTGTATTGGGCCTAGTGGCTTTCCCTGTGCACCGCATCATCATGTATCCATCCAGAAATTACTTTCTCGGGTGTGTGTGGGGGGGTTGTGGGCTGGAGTGGGACATAGCCTGTCCCCCTGCACACCAGTATAGTCTCTTCCCAGTAGGACAGATCCCAGCAGGCAGCAGCTGTGCGAGGAGCGGTGACGGGCACACGGTGCCTCCTGGCCTGACCTCCCCGGGTGGCAGCGGGGCCGGGGTGGGTGACAAGGCAGGGATGGAGCTGATGGTTCGGGTGATTCACTCGAAATAATGAATCTGTGCAGTTCTCAGACCCTGCAGCCCTGCGTGTCCCTTTGCCCTGGTGTCCCACTTTGTTCAAATGCTCCAAACGCACAGGGTTTATATTTTTAAAAATTTATTTCATTTTAATTCCTTTTTTTTTTTAAATTTCCTTTGTTTTTCTTTTTTTTAAATTTTTCTTTATTTCTTCATTCCTCCTCTTACCCCCCGTCTTTTCGCCCGCTCCTTTCTCTTTTTTTCGTTTTTCTTGTTTACGTTTCTGGTTTAATTTTTATTTTCCTCTATCGAATGATTCTGTGCTTGTTTTAGTATTCATTTATTAGCCGTTGGGGGGGTGTTACTTTGTTCCCCCTCTCGCCTCTGCTGCTGCCGCTGCGGAGCCGCGGCCCGACGGAGGCGGCGGGCGGGGACAG